GCGCTTCCGCGCATCCTGGGGAACGGGAAATTCACCCCCCGCGGAGGAAGGCAAATAGAAAACGTAGTCCCTTGTTTGTGAAACGATAATTGCGCTATCGCGTATTCTAAACTAGAAATATTTTACGTCTTGTGAAATTATCATGCACAACATATTTAAATGAACTGAAAATTGTTTTTTTAGCGAAACTTTAAAAAGACCGCCAAAATTTTCAAACATACGATAATTTCATTGGTCCTCGCAAGTACAGAAAAGAGTCCGCAGGTATTTTATTCCTGCGTGATTAATAGGCGTTTCTGCCTTCTAAAACTGAAGATACTCATTCACTGACACTTCCTTAACACCATCGCACCAAAAACTAGCTTCTCCAAAAACCGCTTGAGTGTCCCTTTAAATATTCATACAGGTTAATTTTATACTGCCCCTTAATTAATTGAAAGAAAAATCGAAGTCTGCATGTGCGGTTTCTTTTCTGGATTGATACAAACCCAAGCTTTTTGGTAAGTTCTGAAATGGAAGCTTTTCTATAGCAATTCAAAATGAATCTGACAGCTCAGTTTTGTATTCGCAGCATGTGTTTAATATTTCCTTGACTGAATGTGTCCCAAATAGTGTTGTCATATTCCATAACATGGTGATTTAGTTTTGTATGCTAGAAGTTGTGTGTCTGTAGTGGTTGACTTTAGTGCTCGTCTGAGAAAAAAAGTCTACGGAAGGCAATAGAGGGAACAAAACTAATGTGTTTCAGAGCAGATCCACAGACCCAGGTACTTGAATTCATTCACCTTTATTGGGATATGCTCATTAACACGATACGGAAGTGAAAGTTGCTTTTTGTTAGCCACTGACATACAGACACTTTTATCATAGTTTACACACATTTGTCAGGTAGATAACCACTTCAAATTCTTATCTTTATCATCATTAAGCCTAATTTGATCATCAATAACGCATGTAACTTCGTTATACCGCACAAAGTCATCGGCATAAAGACGTATTTTAACAGAAATGTCGTCAGAAATATCGCTGATAAGTAGCAAAGACAACATAGGAGCAAGTAGAATCAACCGAGAGCAAGGAAGAACACTCATTATTAAAGGCACTGATAACAGTTTGTAAGGTACGCTTGTATCCAACTGACGATCTAATCATTTTTGAAGTCATTATTTAACTTATCTATGAGCTTTACACGTGACACTTCGTCAAACGCTTTCTCAACGTCGATAAAAATTACGTCTACCTGACTATTTTTGTTTAAGGCGGTAGCTAGTTCGTGAACTGTTTCAAATAACTGAGTTGTTGTGGAAATCCTTTTCTGAGGCCATGTTGACTGCTAGATAGTACGTCACATGGTTCAAGAAATTCAAAAATATGTTTATTTATAATGTGGTCAAGGAGTTTGCAGACGGAACGAGTTTATGATATGGGATCTGTAGTTAGCCAATACCTGTTTATTTCCAGTTTTATGTAGGGGTTTAATTCTGGCCATCTTCCAGTCGGTCGGCAATTCGCCTTCTGTTAATAATCTATTAAATATAATGATTGCACTTGGAGATAAATCTGCACATCGTTTCAAAAACACGTCTGGCGATCCATCTGGATGACCACTGGACTTCTGTGGGTCTACATTTCAGAGCAAGTTAAGAATTCCTTCTTCATTACAATGTACATTTTTAAGAGGTGGTAGGTGGTCGGTATAATTCCAACATCGCGTGTAAACACTGATTTAAACCGTAGATTGAATAAATTAGCTATTTTTCTGGGGTCCGGTTCAAGAGCATCGTCGACCGTAAAAGTGCTGGTGTTTGTAGTGGTTGGCAAGATGTGTCTCTAAATCTTTCTAGGTGACGACACGATAAGGCAATTAATTTTCTTTTAAAAATCGGAAATCGTCGAGCGCAACGTCTGGGACGTTTGACGTGGAATGACCCAGTTGTGAGCTGTACAGCCGATCCCGGAGGCAGTGCAATACCCGTAGGTCGGCACCAGGGGGGTGAAGGCGGATGCAGAACGCGGCAAATCTTGAGCGCCGACATTGGTGGTCCCGCGAGAAAGAACAAGAAAAAGCGACAGAAGAGCAAACGAAAGGTTAGGCGTGTTCGTTTGCCGCGACAAGCTGAAGTTGTTCGAGCGCTTGCTAACTTTATTTATTTCAATACAATGCGCTATTTGCGCGACTTGCACTGTCGCGCAAGTAGCGAAAACAACAGGTTTGGAGACCTGTCGCCGTGTCGCCCGGCGGCTGAACCAATCAGCGGCGCCTCGGAAGTGACGCGAGTGCGGCTCGCGTTAGTTTAAATCCGACACGCCGAACTTCCTTCGAAGTAGAATGACGGCAGTGACAATTTCAACGTCCACCATCAAAATAGCTCAAAAATTATTTCGACGTCTATGACGTCACTTCCGTAAAACGTCAAAATAATGGCTTTATTATTTCGACGCCATCTTCAATGCAGCTGTCGCAGTGGCGGATTTACTACGGTTGATAGAATGCCATTTCATCGAGGCATGTTTTAGAAAACGGGCACGCTTTATCGAAGCACGGTGTAGAGAAAGCAGAGCCTCAGTTAAAGGGGCCCTGCAATCATATTTAAGCGTCTACCTTTTTTGCGGTTTCCACGTCTCTTGGGGTTCGGGCAAGCCAGCAGGCACGGAGAGAGTAACTAAATATCAGTGCGTCATATTTTAACCGGACGACGCGGAAACCTCCTCCACCGACAAGGGCGACGCGCGGTACCGAAAGCGCGCAAAATGTGACGTCTTTGGTCCTTGGCTTGCCACTGGTCAAAGCCGCTAAAAGCTTTTTTTTAGTCGAGATACAAAATATAAGTGTCGCGAACCGTTTCAGTTATGTATGAAAGTAGTTTTTGTTCACTATTTTAGATCAGAAAAAAAACAAATGCAGTTTAGAAAGTACGGAAACAAGAAATGACCCGTCGGCATACCCGCCACCAAGCGGCGGAAAAAATGGCGCATACTAGAAAGAACTAGTGGGATGAGGCTACGACGAACGAGGAGCGTAGAAAGGTCCCGGGTGTACGCGGCGGCGCTGCGGTCGAGAATCCGACCGGTTCCGAGCGTTCCGAAGGCCTTCGGCGCGGGCTCTGCTGGCGATTTGGCCATTTGTCGGTGCGTCAGCGCGAAGTGGCTCCCGTTCTGAACTGATCTTTACCCCGTGTTTGCTTTCGTTTGTGGCCAATGAAGTGTTACGCCGAATTAGTGTTTAGTCGCGCAGCAAATGCAATGCGAGCTGCCCTGGCCGCCCGCTTCATACAGGCTATCCAACACGTGCTATAGTGGCGCCCCTCTCGAGCCGTCGACACGGAGTGCGGCAGCCGTGAGCGCTCGATGAGCTCACTACTCCTCCTCTAGTTCATGGCCACTCAAGCCAGGACCTACGACGTCATGAAGGAGGTTATTTTTTACTTGTTTTTGTAATTCTAATTTGCCTATAATTTTTAAAATAAAGCGAAATTTAAGAAAAGAAAATTTTGATTAAGTTACTACGTTCAGTACGCTCAGGTTCAGTGCAAATTAAAAGCCACTCAAAAAGTCATTGCAGGGCCCCTTTAAGAAAAACGACGTTTATCGAAAAGGGGACGCTGTTTAAAAAAGGCTTTCCTTCGCGCGTGTATCGCTGGTGCGTGTGTTAACCTAGCCATAAACGTCTAGTAAAAAAAAAAAAAGCGCAGCTGATGCCGTTTCTTTTTTTTTTTTTCCCCTTCCAACCCTCTTCCGTCGCCACTGGACACTGGATCAAGCTCGTTTCTAGACCGCGAGTGCCGCAAGTTACAAATACAGAGTACAAGTAAAACGCTGCCCAGAGGTACATACGGCTTCACGCACATTGCACTCGCCAAACACATCCACATGGCGCCGACATTAATCTTGATCGGTATCCAAGCGTTCGAAGGCACAGAGACGCAGCACTTCCACGTGCCAAGGAAGCTTTGATCCCGCCGCGAGACCGGCGAAACTTGCTTTCGACGAGTTCTGCCTTTTTCCTGTGGCACTGCGCTTTCGCACAATTTTCCACGTATTCACAACGTCAAGTATCAACGGTTTTACAGGGTCTTAAAAAAAACTTATTCTGCGAATGACGACGAACGAGTAAAAACACGTGTCTGTAGCGCGCTGCCGCAAGCCTCTGCAACGTTAGCAACACGGCAAATCGTCTACGAGCAAGATGGCCGTCCGGTGGCTTCACTCGCGCTGCAGCGAACAAGCGGGGAAGCGCGATCTAGCAATTGTCATAGAGATCAGCGGGCCCACTGATCTCCACTTGGGGGCTGAATGGCGCATTCAGCAAACAGGTATGAAGCCACCGGAAGTAAGCAGCTTGTCCTGGAAGTGAGCGCTTGACACGCTTTGTAACCCTTCCAAGTGCTGGTTCGAAAAGCGTCCAGGGCGCTGGATTTTCGCTTTTCACATCAAGAGAACCCGCTTGTTGCGCAGTAAGAGCGTATACAGACCCGAAAAGTATCCTGGAAAGCCGTTCAATGTAAACGTTTTGAGATTCTAGTTGATCAAGTGTGCATATGTTCCAAGTTATGGTAATCCGTTATGGTGTCAGAAGACTACCCAACCAGTATTTTGCTACAGCGTGAACAATAAACCACCATCATTGACAATTTCACCGCATCCTTCCTTCCGCTTCTCCCTAACTCCCCATACAGAGTAGCGAACTAGAACCTACGTTCAGGTTAACCTCTGTCTTTCCTCCATAAACCTATCTATTTGTTTCGTTTAATTCATTCTGTGACTACCAAATGAATGAGTTCAATTTTCTACTTGTGTTTTATCCCATTAAATCCGTTACATAAAAATAAATCTGCTAATGTGATACATGCGTTTCATTTCACTAGACTCGGCACGTAGACCATACCTTATAGTTGTAACGCCTAAAACCTGCGGCCGCGTCGTATACGCAGGCTACCCGCTTTTACAGCGGAGCTGTGAAAGCTTTTACAGCGGTGCTTTTACAGCGGAGCGGGCCGCACCTTTCTGGAAGCCTTGCGCATGAAGTAGTCTCCAACGAAGGCAGGGTGCTCGTCGAGCCAGGCCTCGATGCGCGCCTCGTCCAGTTCGCCGCCATCTTGGTTGCCAGCGGCGGCGGTCATGCCCACGAGGGCTCCACGGGGGTGCCAGCCGGGCTGCCACAGGGGTCGCCACAGGGCCGTCACGGGCGCCCCGCTAGGCTCCAGGTCGCCCCTCCGCCCAGCCGCCGGAACACCTGCCATGCCCACCACGCACAACTTCAGCACCACATTCTCTCTTTAACGCACTGTGTGTGTTCTATGGGTCGGTTTCTACGAGAAAATCGTCACCAACGAGCAGCTCCGGAACATGCGCAGGAGCCCGTCTTTCGAAGAGAACTGCGCACATGCCGTCTCACAGCCAGCGCCACCGCTGAGCAGGCAACGAAGAAAACCAAAAAAGCAACTTGACTTTTTTTTTCTTTTTTTCTTTTTTTTTAGTTTACGACTCGCCTGTTTTGCCCACCGAGGTTAGTGGCTATTGCCGGCAAAACTATACCGTTGTTTACCGCCAATATCGCCAGGCGCCATGTCGCCGCCGTTCACGGTGATCTCATCTGCGTATGGTACGTCGCGTCAACGCTGCTCGGTTTACTGTCACGAGCAATCTCATCTCAAAGAATGATCGCAAAAGGGTCGTGGTCGTCTGGTGCTCCCAAAAGAGCTGAAATCAGGGCCCCGGATTCGCCCTATGGGTTTACTCTGTAGTGATCGAAGCGGCATTTGACCTCTTGTAGCAGGCTAACTAACTATTGGCTTTTGGACCAGATGCCAACAACTGCTAGCACGTCACTTGAAAAGGAAAGTTTAATTGCGTCGCTAAATGAGTTCATATCTGATAATTGCGGAGGGTTCCTCTTTGATGCTGAGGCATATTACTGATTAACTTTTGGAGTAAGAATGGATAGGACGCAAAAGGAACACAGAGTTTTCTTGTAGAAATAAGGCTCAGCCCAGAGTAGGTTCCATTAAAAATTGGTGTTTTTCTTTTCTTCCTCCCCTTTTTACACTCGATAGTTAATTTAGCCTTTATATATAATTTCTCTAATATAAAAAGAAAATCAACGTATCCGTTGAAAAGTATATCAACAAAAATACGCCCCCCCCCCCCCCCCCCCCCCCAAAGTTTTATGAGCACCGAACTCAAGATTATAATATAAACCGTGAAAACAACCCAGCCACACATATTATGAGAACGAGAATCTACTGAAAGATCTGTGTTTTAAAAGTGACAGTGCGCTTTAGCGGCTTAAGCTGAGCTCGTTGGTCCATTGCTTACAATGACACAGCCTGAACGAAGATTACACCACCACACACAAAAAGGACACCATTAACACTGCTGCACTTGCAACTGTTTAATGCTCCTGTTTTTGTTTCTTCAAATAATTAATATTTTCTTTCCCTTTTTTTTATCGTGTAAATATGTTTTTAGCCGCGTTTTAATTTCTGCTTTTCGGGCAATGGCGTCCGAGCAAGGATAAAAGAAACAATAATAATGCGCAACCCCCTCATCCCGAAAAGCAGAAACTGAAAAGCGGCTAAAAAAGAAAAATAAATTATTTACGCTATAAAAAAGATAAAAAAGATTTTAATTACTTCAAAAGAAAAAAAAAGAGGAACATTAAACAGTTGCAAATCCAACAATGTAAATTTTTTTTTTTTTTTTTTTTTTTTAGTGTGTAATCTTTGTTTAGCTGGCCCATCGTAAGAGTTGAATCAAGGTCACTGCCCTTTCGATTTGCTGCTGCGTGGGAGCTACAATGACTATCGGATTTCTACAAATATAGCGGGTTTTTTTTCCTTTCTCGGCACCGCTTTTTTATTTTTTAATTAGAGGTTAGCCTATGGTTAGAACCAAATAAGGTTGACCTGTAATAATACTAAGCATAATTTCAAAGCCAATAGCGCTAACCCATGCGCTCCCCCGTGTCAGCCGCTGCTCCTAACACTCCGGTGCAAAGCGGTGAAGCTCGACGCACGCGCGCTGATGTGAGGCCGTAAACGTGGACGCGAGCGGCGCAAATGCCACGGTACACTGCAGCCACGGCACGCAGGCATGTGGTAAATATACTATCAGGAGTGAAAGACGCTATAGCTGCCATCCCGCTATTACGCAAACTTTAAAGCGATTGGTTTACGGGCGACACTTTGCAAACATTTTGAGTTCATAGGCTGTCGTCGCGCCACTTTTGAAAAACCCTGCTCTCCTCTCTTGGCCCGAGGCCAGGGAAGTCCAGTTTTTCGCCGGCCGCGCAGCTCGAAGAGAGAAGGGAGAGTCCTCCTGTCATCTGCTTGAAAGACTTGTTTTCAAACATTACTCGTAATATGCGAAATCTCTTTTTGGCAGTATCCAGTTGCTACGCGCAATGTTGGCTGGTTTAAGAAACATCCACCGCGGTCACCCACTTACTTCACCGATCACCGAGCAGTGGTGGCGGTCGTCAGCTATGAGAATTAACCACGTCGCACCTCCCTCCTCATGTAAGTGACGGCACCATTCCACCCGCACTGCGCGACCGTGCTACAACTATACTTCGTTTCAGCTTAAGTCCGAGCGCGGCCCGGCCGAGCTCGCAAGTCGTCTTGTTCGAGCTACGCAGTCTGCTTTTATATTTTCCTACCACGGGAGACGAAACATGCTTCAGCGGCTGTAGACGATGACACTGTGGTGGCTGTGTTTCTGATCGGCCACGCAGTGTAGCGCGCCGACGTACTTCGCCTGAGTAGACGACGACGAGGCGAAGGCTGCCCCGAAATGGTGGGGATAGTGCGTAGATGGCTGTAGCTGTCCATAGTTTTGTGTCACCATTTGTTTGCTGGCGGACACGATCCTGGGGAAACTAGCTCCTAACAGCTCCGCTCTAATAAGTGAACCGTTACAAAGCAAAAACGTACAGAACAAGAAGATAGTCACTCAACGGTATACTGCTGAGCAACAAGGACTCGGGTCTTTCACCCGCCTCATTTGGCCTGTCCGCCTTCCGACCGTAAACAGAAACTGCCGCTCGCGGGAAGGCGCCGGCGGGAGCCGCCTCGAGTCTGCCCCCCTCTCTCGTAGCCTTCGTGTCTGGTCCGACTCGGAATCCAATCAGCCAGGCAGCAGTGGCTCGGCTCACGGTTCGTTACCCACGGGCCCGCAAACATACGATGGAGCCGCGCGCGCCAGATAAGCATCGGTCGGCTGCGGAGGGCGACGCAAGCGGAACGGCGGAAGCAAGGGGGATCAGGCATCCCGGCCAACCGCACGGCTCGTTCATCATCGGGAGACAGGCAGGACGGCCGATCGAAGGCCAGCGGCAGCACACGCGAACGCTCGAAATTGCGCGCACGGCGTCCGGGAGCGACCGCCGACCAGCCTCGATGCCTGTCTGTGATGTAAGTAGAGAGAGCCTGCATTACAGAGTTTCCCTCCTTGCTCGGTCGGGCGAGAGGGACAACGCAGGAGGCAACGTTACTTGGCAGGAGGCGTCCGCCATTACATCGCATAGCAGACAACCGTCAATGCGGTTTTCTGGTTACCGCCGTCGCTCATAGATGGCGGTAGCTGTCCAGAGTTTCGTGTCATCATTTGTTTGCTGGCGGACCCGCTTTGCCTCCTTCCTCGTCACGAGACAGCGTCCGCCATTACATCGCAAATGCTCTCCGCGGTTTGGGTTGAACCCTCTCATCCATCTAGGCTCTCTCGATGTCGGGACTCGGAAGCCCCAATGCCGCCACGACGAGGCAGTTGCGTCATCCAAGGACCTCTCCTCCGGACGGAGACCCGAGTGGCCGGATGCCGGTCGGCAGTTTGCTGCGATGCGATCGCGTTTGTCGGTGAAACCTCCGCACTTTCGTACCCATCCTTCTGTTTGTAACTAAGGGAGCCGCCATTGGCTGCTGCGGCGAAACCGCTCGATTCGTAGTGATCCGCAGTGCCTCCACTCCGCGGGAGAGCCTCTCGATGTTGCAATAATGCCGCCGAGGCGCAACAGCAAAAGGAATGTGCCGAGAAAAAGAAAACGTGAGATGCGTTTGCGTCAAGCTCGATAGGCAAGAAGTAACGAGGCCGGTGAAACAGACCAGGAATGGCAACTTCGGCTCCAACGCCATCGAGACGCCAAGCAGGCGAAGACATTTCGCAAACAGAACGAATAACGTAACGTTCGAAGAACGTAAAGATTCTAATGTGATATCAGTTGGAACACTAGGATTACCGAGTGCTTCTAAGGTAACATCTGCCAAATCACTTCAAGATGTTTAGTGACCGCGAACGGATGTCAACAAAATTGATTCTCATCCACAACCAGACCAAAGTTAAATCCCGTGAAACAACTGAAGTCCCAGTCATGCCGATTTGATATCACTTGAACTATGACAAAATATTTAAGTTGTATCACTTCAGGTATCGAAAGTGATTCCAAAGGGTATGGAACTGGGGATATAATGTGTTTATAAAATTGACACGATCCATGTCACGTTGGAACTCCAGCTTTCACGCTCTGAGGTGATATGAATCATGTGAACTGGCTTCCGATGCAAGCGAAGTCTCCTTTTTCTTTTTTTCTCTTCAATTAAAGGTCTTTTTTTGAGGACAACGAACGTGTTAATCGCACTACTTCTGGCTAACATTAAGATGTATAATTTTTTTATTATTAAGATGTAAACTGATGTTCCTCTTCGTGCTAACAAATAACATTATCTTCCTCGGTATAATATAGGCAATTCAATTACTTTTATTTAAACATTTCCTTACTTAATTTTTAAAATTCCTTTACGTTCTTTATTCATTTTAAACAAATGACTGTCATTCCAGTTTTTAGTTTCGATAGCCCGCGGTGAGTCGATGAAATGGCTCTCGAATTGAAACCATCATTCGCTAAAAACGGTGTTCCCGATAATGTGGGCGCGTTGAGTCCGCTGCAGAATATTTTTCAACCAGGGTGAAAATCCTCCTCGCCACCCTTTCCCATTTCCTCCTCTCCCACTCTTAACAGTACGGAGGGGGGACTCCTTTAATTTGTTGCTGCATCTCGGAGCTGGATGAGCCGGGATAAGATGCAACGAAAGGAACCGCACAGAGGCAAGACGTGGCAGCGACCAACCTATTTATTGTACCTATACTTTTCCGGAATGCTCATTGATGCATCAATGAGTATTCCGGAAAAATAGGTACAATAAAAAGGTTGGTTTCGTGACCATAGGACTCTAGCCGTAC